AAGTAGCTACTATTTAACATTTTCGACTACAAATCTGTCAGAACTTCACAGAAATTGCTCAAACTGACAAAGCAATTTGTGCAAATGATCTTAAATCAATAAAACATGACAAAAAATTTATATAACATGATTTCAAAGATACAGTGAATTTATGAAGCAACGTAATGCTAAAGAAGCAATTATTTAACATTTTCGACTGCAAATATGCCAGAACTTCACAGAAATTGCTCAAACTGACAAAGCAATTTGTGTGAATCAATTAAACATGACAAAAAATTTATATAACATGATTTCAAAGATACAGTGAATTTATGAAGCAACGTAATGCTAAAGAAGCAATTATTTAACATTTTCGACTGCAAATATGCCAGAACTTCACAGAAATTGCTCAAACTGACAAAGCAATTGGTGCAAATGATCTTAAATTAATAAAACATGACAAAAAATTTATAAATCATGATTTCAAAGATACAGTGAATTTATGAAGCAACCTAATGCTAAAGTAGCAATTATTTAACATTTTCGACTGCAAATATGCCAGAACTTCACAGAAATTGCACAAGCTGACAAAGCAATTTGTGCATATGATCTTAAATCAATAAAACATGACAAAAAATTTATTTACCATGATTTCAAAGATACAGTGAATTTATGAAGCAACCTAATGCTAAAGAAGCAATTATTTAACATTTTCGACTGCAAATATGCCAGAACTTCACAGAAATTGCTCAAACTGACAAAGCAATTGGTGCAAATGATCTTAAATCAATAAAAAATGACAAAAAATTTATATAACATGATTTCAAAGATACAGTGAATTTATGAAGCAACCTAGTGCTAAAGTAGCTACTATTTAACATATTCGACTGCAAATCTGCCAGAACTTCACAGAAATTGCTCAAACTGACAAAGCAATTGTTGCAAATGATCTTAAATCAATAAAAAATGACAAAAAATTTGTTTAACATGATTTCAAAGAAACAGTGAATTTATGAAGCAACCTAGTGCTAAAGTAGCTACTATTTAACATATTCGACTGCAAATCTGCCAGAACTTCACAGAAATTGCTCAAACTGACAAAGCAATTGTTGCAAATGATCTTAAATCAATAAAAAATGACAAAAAATTTGTTTAACATGATTTCAAAGAAACAGTGAATTTATGAAGCAACCTAGTGCTAAAGTAGCTACTATTTAACATTTTCGACTACAAATCTGTCAGAACTTCACAGAAATTGCTCAAACTGACAAAGCAATTGGTGCATATGATCTTAAATCAATAAAACATGACAAAAAATTTATATAACATGATTTCAAAGATACAGTGAATTTATGAAGCAACCTAGTGCTAAAGTAGCTTCTTTTTAACATTTTCGACTGCAAATCTGCCAGAACTTCACAGAAATTGCTCAAACTGACAAAGCAATTGGTGCATATGATCTTAAATCAATAAAACATGACAAAAAAATTATATAACACGATTTCAAAGATACAGTGAATTTATGAAGCAACGTAATGCTAAAGAAGCTACTATTTAACATTTTCGACTGCAAATATGTCAGAACTTCACAGAAATTGCACAAGCTGACAAAGCAATTGGTGCAAATGATCTTAAATCAATAAAACATGACAAAAAATTTATATAACACGATTTCAAAGAAACAGTGAATTTATGAAGCAACCAAGTGCTAAAGTAGCTACTATTTAACATTTTCGACTATAAATCTGCCAGAACTTCACAGAAATTGCTCAAACTGGCAAAGCAATTTGTGCAAATGATCTTAAATCAATAAAACATGACAAAAAATTTATATAACATGATTTCAAAGAAACAGTGAATTTATGAAGCAACCTAGTGCTAAAGTAGCTACTATTTAACATTTTCGACTGCAAATATGTCAGAACTTCACAGAAATTGCACAAGCTGACAAAGCAATTGGTGCAAATGATCTTAAATCAATAAAACATGACAAAAAATTTATATAACTCGATTTCAAAGATACAGTGAATTTATGAAGCAACCTAGTGCTAAAGTAGCTACTATTTAACATTTTCGACTGCAAATATGCCAGAACTTCACAGAAATTGCACAAGCTGACAAAGCAATTTGTGCAAATGATCTTAAATCAATAAAACATGACAAAAAATTTATATAACACGATTTCAAAGATACAGTGAATTTATGAAGCAACCTAGTGCTAAAGTAGCTACTATTTAACATTTTCGACTGCAAATATGCCAGAACTTCACAGAAATTGCACAAGCTGACAAAGCAATTGGTGCATATGATCTAAATCAATAAAACACGACAAAAAATTTATATAACATGATTTCAAAGAAACAGTGAATTTATGAAGCAACCTAGTGCTAAAGTAGCTACTATTTAACATTTTCGACTACAAATCTGCCAGAACTTCACAGAAATTGCTCAAACTGGCAAAGCAATTTGTGCAAATGATCTTAAATCAATAAAACATGACAAAAAATTTATATCACATGATTTCAAAGAAACAGTAAATTTATGAAGCAACCTAGTGCTAAAGTAGCTACTATTTAACATTTTCGACTACAAATCTGCCAGAACTTCACAGAAATTGCTCAAACTGGCAAAGCAATTTGTGCAAATGATCTTAAATCAATAAAACATGACAAAAAATTTATATCACATGATTTCAAAGAAACAGTAAATTTATGAAGCAACCTAGTGCAAAAGTAGCTACTATTTAACATTTTCGACTACAAATCTGCCAGAACTTCACAGAAATTGCTCAAACTGGCAAAGCAATTTGTGCAAATGATCTTAAATCAATAAAACATGACAAAAAATTTATATCACATGATTTCAAAGAAACAGTAAATTTATGAAGCAACCTAGTGCTAAAGTAGCTACTATTTAACATTTTCGACTACAAATCTGCCAGAACTTCACAGAAATTGCTCAAACTGGCAAAGCAATTTGTGCAAGTGATCTTAAATCAATAAAACATGACAAAAAATTTATATAACATGATTTCAAAGAAACAGTGAATTTATGAAGCAACCTAGTGCTAAAGTAGCTACTATTTAACATTTTCGACTACAAATCTGCCAGAACTTCACAGAAATTGCTCAAACTGGCAAAGCAATTGGTGCAAATGATCTTAAATCAATAAAACATGACAAGAAATTTGTTTAACATGATTTCAAAGAAACAGTGAATTTATGAAGCAACCTAGTGCTAAAGTAGCTACTATTTAACATTTTCGACTACAAATCTGCCAGAACTTCACAGAAATTGCTCAAACTGGCAAAGCAATTGGTGCAAATGATCTTAAATCAATAAAACATGACAAAAAACTTATATAACATGATTTCAAAGATACAGTGACTTCATCTATTTTGATTTATATACTATTATCGACGAATTAGAACAAGATATTTTCTTTGCTAAAATTTTTAAAAAATGCAAGTACTCTTATTTTCTCTTTATTAAGGCATAGAAATAAGGCTTTTAGACTAGTCTAAAAGTATCATGTAAAAGTTAACGTGAAAATTAAAAAAAATTATAAATATATTTACATTTCGACCCCGATGACGTTTTAGTTCTGGAAACTGTGGTGAAAGGCTGCCTACTGATGATTCTGATGACTGCGATGATGACATTAACGTTCAATTGACCTTTGTGCTGCATCGTCGTCAAAGCTAAGTTTATGTTTTCGTCTGTTTTGAACTTGTTGAAACGATGATCCCTTATTTTTGCTGCTATTCATATCGATTATTCGTTGAATGCTTGCTTCCATTTTTTTGCTCTTTTCTTCTTCTTCATTGTCGAGTTCTCCAGCTACTTCATATTCTTAATTTAAATTAAATTTTAAACCAAGATTAATTAATTCATTTTATTTTTTCTTGTCAAGGCAAGAAAGCATGTAAATCTGATGAATATTGTAAACGTGAATCAAAAGTATGTAAGTAAGGATGCATGTTTGTCAAAAATTGTAAATCTAGTGATTATTGCAATAAAAACAACTAGGTAATGTGTCAGAGGATGCCGTTATCCATACCAGACTTGTAAATACAGGGAAATTTGTTATCCAAGCAGTCATCAATGCCGAAAACGATGTAGGAAAGATTCTGACTACAAATCCAACGAATTCTGCAATTTTAAAATTAATATTTAAACCAACCAATTACTGCTTCTGACCAGAATTATGATCGATTTGACTATGAAGGCTGAAAACTAGCTAAATAAGCTATTGATCAGACTTCTTTTTGTTTTATAAGAAATATTTGCAATTTATGCAACAATATTAAGTAAAAGTGATCTTTTATAACCCAGTTCAGTCACAGTCTAGCCTATATATATATATATATATATATATAGTAAACTATGTGCTGATTCATCTTGTGGCCCAAATTCAGTTTGTAATGAAATAAGAAATAGACAATACTGTTCTTGCTTAGATGGGTATGTTCCAAAGGCTAATGAAGGTTGCAGACTTGTTGTTGAGGATGATATTATTCCTGAAATTAATTTGGATTGTTCGAACTGTGGAATTTTCAGCAAGTGTATTGTAATGAAATATAAAATTAATTGTTTTTGTCCATTGACCGAAAAAAAAGTTTAAGCAGGAATTCTTTTTTATACTGCCCTAGAACTGATTTATTTCAATCCAAGAAATCAACTGATGAATCAAAACTGTCTCTTAAATCATTGATGGTCTTGGCTAAAGGTTAAGATGATTGTATTTAGAAATAAAGTATTGATGTAAGATTTGGTTCGGAAGTTGTTGACTTAGGACATCCGGAAGTTGAAGTCTATTTAGAGTATATTCTTAGCTTAGCCAGTTTCATTCGACAATAACTGAATAACCATTCAAAATTTAAATTATCCGAGAACACCTCGTTGCTCCATTCCTATAATTCCGACAATTGTGATCTACAGGTCGATAAATGCTAATTTAATCAATTTCAAATTAATAGAGAGACACTTTTAAATTTTCTTGAATCTTTTTGTTCATTTTTTTATTACATGTTTATGAAGTTATATGTGTGTTAAAGTACATAGAAGTTAGAAGGTAAAATATCCATGAAATTTCATCTTCATGATGACTATTGATTTAATTTTCTCATTTTTCTGTTAAAAAATGGCCGAAAATTTTGAATTTTTGAAAATATCAATAAAATCTTTAATTTTAAAAAATTTAAAATTTTTAGCCACTGAAGTTTCTTGACAAACATTGATTCTTCTATTTTAAATTTTTATTAAATTTTTTTTCTTGTTTCTTATCAAAATGGTGGTGCATGAATGTATTATGTCCTATTTATCATGATGTTTGTAGGTGAGTCAGTCACCTTAAAAGTAACACCAATCGACTTTAAAAGTTAAGGATTAGGTAAAAAGATTAATTGAATTTGATTTTTGTCATAGTAATAAATTTCAACTACATTCACTATACTATATGGAAAGATTCTAACAACAGCATTCATCTTATTACATAATAAATATATGAAGAACTTTTTTTTCTTTCTTTTAGATACCGAAATTAAAACTTAAAAACGAAAATTTTTTGGAATCGCATTTTATGCAACGGAAATGTTTTTTTTTTGTGAAAGTTGAGTTTTTGATGCAAGGGATGGTAATTATTTTGACGCGGTAAGAAGAACAGATGAGGAAGTTAACCTCAAAATATCTAAATGGATTTTACGCCCACTCAAATGTTCTTATGATTTTCTAGAGTTTACGATCGATATTCTAGCTCCCATTTCAAATTTATCTATAGACTAGTCCAGTGTTTCTCAAACTATGTTCCGCGGAGCTTTAGTGTGCGATGAGAGAATTCTTGGTGCTCCGCAAAAAGCTTAACATTTAAAATGTCGAGTTCTGAAAAGTCTGAGAACCACTGCACTAGTCTGACACAAAATCTGAAATTTCTTAACTTGTATGAAAAGTTTCCATCCCTTGCATTCTTTTTTAATTTCTTTTTGAATCAGTTAGATTTCTTGAAACTTCCAATTTAATTTTTTACAAATTTTTTCTTGCATAAAACTATTATTAACATTTATTTATAATATAAATTTTTTCATTTCATTAGCTTAGGGATTTTTTTCGTGAATTTTTTTAAGGATAAATTTTTTTTTCATTAAGGGGAAGTGAAATTTACAAGCATTGGCACGTGAAAAAAATTTCATATTTGGCATTTTTCAGCACATTTTATATTTGGCTAATTTTATTTCTTTGGTTTTACGCTTTAATTGTATCAAATTTTTTTGGTTTTTCAATTTTTTTCAATTTTTTGGACATTTAAAAAATTAAATTAAAACATCAATGTGTCGAAAAAATTAAGTTTCGAGCATCACACTCTTAACGTATATGCTTAGCTGCTGTTTATGACATTTTGAAGGAAAATTTTACATGGAACTTAGTTGACAAAAATTTGTACACAAAAAAAATATTTTATTAAATCACAAAATTAAATATTTCAATCTACAGATCTTATTCCTTATGTAAATCCTTTCACACATTCATGAAAAATTTGATCGCTCAGAAGTTCTCCTCGTTCATTTTCATCTCTTTAGTGAGTTCCTATAATTTCTATGATTATATTTCTTAATTAATTAACTACTTAATCTTTTTTAAATGGAGTGGAAGTTATTAGTAATGGAATTTTGATTATGCTGAGAATTTATGAGCTTAAAAGTTATGTTAATGGATTTCTGAAAGTTTGTTTAAATTTTTTATTGATGGATTGGATTAAGTTCCTCTATTCTTAGACTATAAATTTTGAAAAGGAGTTCTTAATGTTTTTGCAATGAACAATTGGGCAAGTTATGGATTGGAATCCTTACATACAAGTACGAAGGAGAGCAATATTGTTTAACTGGACATAACTAGAATGCGCAGGCATTTATTATAGATCAGAATCCTATAAGTTGTCTTACAATAACTACCCCGAATGGCACAAGTTAACTAATCGATCAGAATTGCTGGCTTTAAATTGATGCCAGCTCCATGCCTGCTTGGTGCTGAATTTCTATTCGATTAACCGACTTGTGCTTTTCAAGTACTCTTCTGCGTTGCCTCACCCTAATATAACTTAAATCTCAACAATTCTAGACATAAATTGAAAATTCCATCACCAAAATCTCTCCAACTTCCTCTTTGACATTTTTAATGCGTATTTTTATCATCAATTTATTTTCGTTATTTCATATCTAAAATCCACTTAAATTCGAGCATTACCACTACTTACTCATCATTAAATCTTTTTCATCATTTTCATTTAAAAGTTTCATTTTCAAAATATTATCCATTATTGTTATTACTTTTATCATTAAATTTAAATTTATTGTTTGTTGTAGTAACTGGAAATTATAAAATATTCATTTTGTTCATTTTAAAGATTCTCTTTATCCTTCATTCTGTCTCATCTATCGTACCGAGGTCAACAAATTGCGTTACTGTAAAAAGTCTTTCATTTATGTGTGAGCTTCGTAAGTGAATTTAATGGATGTGTTGTAAAGTTAATTTTTGGTCAGCTCTAGGAAAAGAAGTTACAAATTGGCTTAATGTAGCATGGAATGATGTTTTTTTTTATCAATTTAATAGTCACAACGTTCTTTGTGCATAAAGTCTTTTTGATCGCAAAATGTCTCATGATATGAAAAGAATCCTTTTGATAAAATTCGAAGGTTAGAAATTCTGATCTTTTTATGTTTCTTTGTCAATTAATTGAGATAAAATCATTTGTAGATTCAGGTTAAATTATTAATACTAAACTTAGCATCTATTGCGTTTTAGTTTAGATATTTCTTGTTACTATCCCTTACAGACAAGTGAGTATACTCATGGTACCGTAATTGAATATGTTACTTTATAAAAAAGTCAACGATTACTACATTCTGAACTCTAGACAAAAACTCAGGAAATTAAGGAACTTTTCCATTTTCCTAAACATTTTGATCTTTTCATGCTACATTAAATCAGCCATAAATTTATTTCATTTCCTAGATCGTAAATTTTCCTATTTTTTGTGACATTCTTAATTTTTTTTTCGTGCATAATGCTTAGAATAGAAATTTAAAGACAATTCCTAATACACTAAATGGATATTGTGATCTAGAAAATTTAAAGTCTGAGGAAAAGACATTGAATGTTGAATTAAGTTTGTATCTTTTGTTTTGAATTAATCTCATCAGCAATTGCAGTTCCAATTATTCAGGATAACTCAGAAGATCAAGACTTCAAAGCTTATGTTAAAGACTTCTTGATTCTAGGAGGGATGACAAAACAGCTTAGTGTAGATAATGTAAAATAAGTCGGTTTTGATGGGAATCAAACCCACGATCTCAAAAGAGGCGATCTCTGACCACTCGATCAGAGATCCCAGTCCCTCGTCCACAAAGGTACTTATCTTACTTTGGCTATCCGTCATACACATATAACCCTATCTACTACAGATATGCTCTTCGAGCCATATCTAAACTTAGTTCTTGTAAAATTATACAAAGTTCATTGCTCTTATAGCATTCATGAACTTTGACCTATTTTTTAAAACTTCTATTTAAGTCAAAATATTTATCTGATAATCTTCCAAATCCACTCCTATTAAAAGCAACAAAAGGGTTGAAAATCCTTAAACTTTATTCTTATAATATTCAACTAAGCGTTCCTTAAGCAAAATTCTCTGAAATCTCATTAATAAATCAACATAAATTCTTTCATACAAATCGCCAATTTCTTCTATAGATCGGCTGATCTGATAAACTTTTCGACCTTTGTCGTTTCGGCTTCTCTTTATCATGATCTGATTGAATTGAAATACATACATGATGAGCAGAACGAAAAAAAAATTCTCTTTGTCAGATCAACAGACCCAAAGAAGAAGAAAATAAAAGGATTGCAAACAATAACAAAAGACAGCATGTAAACTTGATTATTTTCTTGACACAATTCAGCATAAAATATCTTTTCCTCAGACCTTTAATATTACATCATGAACGAATGTTTTTTATTACATTTACTTTGATTATTTTTTTTTCCTTTTTTTACTTTGTTGGATCTAATGAAAATCTATTGACCTATCGACTATTTTATTTTACTTTTATCTATCCTCATGTTCGTGTATGACAAGAATGAAATTTCTCTTACTTTTTTTGTTGATTCTTTTTTTACATTAAAAAATTAAAACTTTTTTTTCACTTTTTTTTTTAAATTCTTATCAAAAAACATTAGTATCACTTATTTGACGAGGACGGCTGTGCATGACATGAACCGGAAATGAAGGAGATTATGAGAGTGAAATGAGTAAAATTTGCAATTTCATGAACTTTTTTTGGGATGATGAAGAGGCGACTGTTGGAAAAAATTAAGTTTTCTGGTAATTACAAGAATCGTATCCAGATGACAAGTTGACTTAACCTCAACATGCTCAAACAATTGATGCATAATTGTTCTCCAAACATGTATTCCCTTATTTATGAGGAGGTTTCCTACATAAGTCAAAGTTTAGAGTACACTAAGGTCTAGTAAATGCACAACTACTCAAAACATAGATGTAGATGCAAGTGCAACAACATCTGGTCTCACTTTAAACCATAAAACCAGCACAAAGTCTAAAGTCAATTTTCTTCTTGAATTCAAACAAATTAAGCCTTAAACCCAAATTTTTTCACAGCATTGTAATCCTTTCTGAACAATCACAAGGTTCCTCCAAATATATTCAATGCCCACATCAATGAAAAATCAAACCAAACATTTTTTTCCAACAGATCTCATTTGTGCCTTAACACATTCTATTTTAAATTTCAAATTTTTTTTGGTCCTCTCACGAAAGAAATATGTAAATGAGTCAATGGGAATGTGCTTGAAAGAACCATTCTTGTGATAAAAATTTTCTTTTTTTAAGGGAAAAAAAATGAAATGAATTTTTAAGCCTTTTTCAAAGTTCAGCCTTCGTTTTTAATTTCATCAGATTCCTTTTTCTCACAAGATTTTCATTGGATTTTGAGTGGGTTGGAGATAAAAACTCTTTTTTTGCTGCTAATGATTTTTATAGGCAGAATTGCTAAGTATTATTAGATCATACATTAAAGATTAGGTTCAAATTGGAATGACGCATTAAAATGCTTGAAAGCTTCTTTGCCTTTAGTGTTATAGCAATTATAAGTGGGTTGATTTATAATTGATACATTCAGTTGTGAGATTTAATGCTCTGTTTTTGCTGTAGATAGGAGTTAATTTTGATAATAATCTTGCTAATGCTCGTTGAATGACACTAATTGATCAAGAAAGGATAAATATCATTAACAGATTAGTTATGATAAGATATTTTAAGAGTTCAGATATGATGTTAAATTGTTTGTAGCTTAAAACTGTGACTGCACAATTTTGGACTTGAAATCAATTTTGAATTGAACTTGCTTATTAAGTGTCTTGTTTCTAATGATGAATAAATTATGAATTTTCATGCAAAACTTCTTAATGCAATCTTTAAGAATGTAATTAGCTTTTATCGATCCATTCCATTAAGCACTAGCTTCAAACTATAATAAAATTGCACCCTTCAGAGCACACAATACAGATCAACCTCATTTAGAACCCTCAAAATCCGATAAAAATCATCCGAGAGAAAAAAAATCATACGCAATCAATTTTTTTATATCCATTGTGATACTTGACATTTTAAACAATACAATCCACTATCACGTCCAGTGAAAATCCATCAATTTTTCCCTCCCCCTTTTACTCAATCGTTAATCACACTACATTGATTTAAATCCTTTTTTTTAAACTTCCGTTCTCATTTTAATCGATAAATAAATAAATGGAAATGACTTTTTCATTCACAATAATAAAAAAAATAAATAAATACACATTCACATGTAGGTGGCGAATGCTATACAATCTCTACTGTTTTTCCTGTCAATCCTTATTTTTTGTATTCTTTCATTTCTTTTATGCGAACAAAAAAGATTTGTTCATTCGATTTTCAGCATCACTAACTTACTTATCATCTATTGTTCTTCTTTCCCCTCGATTCTACTGCTGCTTCATCTCAGCTTGTTTTTATCTTAAAAAAGTTTATTTTTTCATCTAATGGTAATATTGTAATGTTGTAAAAAAACGACGATTAAAAAGCTTTAAGAGAGATCTCACGACATTGATTTTATTAACTTTGTGCTAATTGTGAGTCACTCTCGAGCGGTGGTGGCGGTGGGAATGAGTCCATTGACATAAGTTCACTAGCATTTTGTTCTGCATCAACTTCTGGTGGTGGTGCGGGTAAAAATGATAAACTATCCATCGTTAATTCACCATTACATTCACCTTTCAAGCATGATGGTGGCGGAATAATTGTATCATTACAATTTTCATCTGGCACTGATATAATCTCATCCAATCCGTTCTTTATGCTCGATATAATTCCATTCATTTTATTATGGACTTTTGCCTTATCGGCATTATCAGCTTTTATCGTATCATTGCTTTCATTACCATTCCGTGCATACATATCAGACTTGAGTGGTTCATTATCCTCTTGAGAATCATTCTTGTATATGGCTGATGTTATGACGGGTTTATTAAGATCATCAATTGGCGCTGGTGGACTATTTTCAATTAATGGCTTAAGATCATGACAATGAACATTAATAATGCGCTTCGGTGATGATCCACGATAGCCTTTCTCATCAAAATTATATGATTCTCTATCACCGTACGTATAGTTTTGATTGGAGCTATTTGATGATGTAAGACTCAAGTCTGACTGTGATAAGCCCGTCTTTGTTCCATTACAAATTACAGCACCATCATTGTTTTGGCCCTTGACATCAGCGGGCGGTGTATGAACTTCAACTTGTTCAGGCTTTGGATGTTTACGCTCCTCTTCTGGTGAACTGGGCGTAAAGTGGCTCTGAAGTGTGTCAATTTTTATCTCCTCGGGTATCTCGAGGGGAGCTTGTGTAGATTTTTGTAGCAATGGAGATGGCTTATGACTTCCATTTTGATCAGCACCTCGTGCTGATTCGACTATAAAAACTCCGTCTTTCTCTGATGGTGAATAATGCATTTTTGTTTCGCGTGTGTCGCGCGAAATATCCTAAAAGAAAAGAAAACACAATAAATGAATAAGAATGAAATACATTCTCAAAGGTGTATTTCATGTACAAGTTTTTGGCACGCCTTAAAGAGAATGAAGAGATATTTGGATTTATTGTGTCTTTTATGTCATATTTATTGTCAAAGTTATTAAGTTTATGAGTTTTTTTTTTTCATGAGAAATTAAAAAAAGTCTAGATTTTGCAGATTGGAAAATGTAGGTTGAGTAGAAGTGAATGGCATGTGATTTTTGCCACTTTTTGTAGACATTAGAAGCTTGATTAAAAACTAATTAAGGTTTTTGAAGCTTTAATGTCAAAAATACTTTTCGAAGTGAAAAATTTCATACGATTTTGAAGTTTTGAAGATAAATTTGAATATTTAATGACAGTTAAAAATGCAAAAACCTCTTTTCACGAACAACATTCAATATTTACAGTTTAGCACCTTTCTGCTTTCCATAAAAGACACTAAAGCTTTGGTTCACTCTCACATGAATATTTTCGAGATTTGAATTTCAATCGTTTTCTTTTTTGCGTATTATTTACTTGAGCATGCAAAAAAGTAACATCATTGTCACATGAATTGTAAATTTATATCTTATAAGAAGGGAGAAGATAGCAGCTACGCGTACTGATGACGCTTTCTGCATTATACTTACATTCCTTTCTTCCGTTTCGACTATTAAGTGATTATTTTTCATTGTCATTTTGATAATGGAACCGTTTGTATCATTGTGATTGTTTGTGTTGTTGGGCGTTACATCACCATTAGCATTAGCTAAAAGCAATTCAGTGCTTGTCTGAAGATTTCCATTTCCACGATTTAATGTCATTGCCGATTCCGTTGATTTCATCTATTTTGGATGGAAGAAAAAAAGAAGCAAATTTAATTGAAAAAGCGAAAATTTATATATCTTAAGTATCTGTTTTGGTGAAATTATGGAATTTTGTAAGCCAGAGAAGAAAATTTTATTCTGACATTATTATTTTGTTGCTGCTCGTTTTATCTCTTTTATCTTCAGAGAAAATTAAAAAGTTTTGGAAAAATTTTGTTCTATTAATAGGCTCTATTTATCTGGGGCGATTATTTAGCTTGAATTTTGTTGATCAAGTCGATTTATAATGAGATTTCTTTTTGGCTAAATTTGTTGCGTTAGTGACAAAATCTTGAGGCTAAGAATAACTATCAGCACTATCTTTAGATTGCGGAACATTTAACAAATCACCACAAAAAGCCTTCAAGATAAACAGACAGAGCAATCAACCAATGCAATCATCACTAATTGTGATGACAAACTTTTAATCTATAAAATCCTATCAAAGATCTTTTTGCAAGGACAAATTTCACATGAAAAATCATTTCACCTTAGAAAGTCCTACAAAAAAAAAAGTTTTCTTGTTCCATCTTCTCATATCCGAAATTGAATGTCCAACATAAACTTTGACACGTCGAAAAAAAAAATTATTTCTCCTTTTTTATCAACATCTATTAATCTACTGTCTGAAAAAAAGTCCATCCCCAACAAATAGCTTCTTTTTCTCATTTCATTTCTAAATTATTGATCGATCTTTATCAAGAAAACCCAAAGCAAAAGCTTTTGGTCGAGCGGTAGAGAGAAAGAACGAAAAGATCTTCATCATTTCCAATTCATTTTTCTTATAAATTTGTTTTTCTTTTTGTTGGGGATTGTACGGTTGTTACGTTAGTGATATGGACAGGACTGTGATTAACACAGTGCTTGACTAATCATTTGCACTACAAACCTAAATCTTATTCTTTTGCGTTCTATAACATCTGCACATCCCCATCATTGCCTCCCGCAGATGAGAAAGAAAAAAAAGCAATTTCTTGTCTTTATTTTAACACATAAAATAAAAATATATTGAAAGAAGCAGTGAGAAAAGAGATGTGATAACGTTTTCAGTGAGCGAGAACTGATGTGCTTTCATGTTTCTCCATCCACAACATCATTCGCATATATTATTCAGTCTCTATCTTATTTGTATTCATTTTTTCACTAAATTTTCATTAGCTTTTGCATACAAAAAGAAGCAAATTTCTCGTTTTGCCACAATTTTTTTCATGCCTTTGCTTCACCAAACTGCGTTGTGCATAACGAATGATTGTTGAAGGTTATTGAACTGGAAAAACCTTCATAGAGATAAATGTTTTTAAAAAACAAATTTATTTTGCTGATGAAAATGGCGCATTTTGTAAAAGGAACTGTTAAGTAGTTGTTCGAAGCTTTACTGGGTATTTATGCGATTGAACGATCATTAAGGAGAAAATTGCTGGAAATAAGAAGCATTGAATGCCTTAATGAACCTTTTAGTATGAATAATATCTGAAGCTGAGACGTCAATTTTCGGCACATTAGACAAATTGGAAAACAAAAGTCTGTTGGATTGTTGCTAGCTTTTTGGAGCTTCTTATTTGTTGTCGCCGGGCTGATTTTTTGTCAATTCATGAGCTTATAATTTATGAAAAATTTGAAGCGAAGATTATTTTTGAGCAGAATGAATAAAAAATTGGACAAATCCTTGAACTCAATTTCTTTTAAGAATATAAGCTGAAAATCTAGATGAAAAAATTATGCTAAAATCGCTAAGCATGCAGATTTTTACTTTGACAAAATGTCGCTTTTTAACATTGTCTGAAATTATTTTTTCAATGGATCCCGATGTTCAGACTAGATGCACACTAATTGAGACCTACTCTTTGTAGTTAAGTTTTGAGCTTAGGAATCCACAGCTATCTTCATAACCATAGCAAAAATCTAATTACATACAATTAAAAGCTCTTCAATCATTTCCTAATTGCCTTCATCCAAGCACACCTCTTATAAAAATAACATTACCTCCTCAATTTTCCCTAACAGCACTTTAACTGCATTTCATTAATATGCATAAAGAATCTTGCATTTCTAACTAAGATGTCACATAATTGACACATTAAGAAGCATGTAGATTCTAGACATGCAGTCAATGTGCATTACCAACTTTCTCGAAATGTACTTAGCATCTTTTCAAGAAGCTTTTGCTTGTTATTCACAAAAAAAAAACTTATTCTATTCTTCTTATTTTTTTTGTTGAGACTTTTTTCGCTCACAGCAACTTTCATCTCATTCAAATGTGCATTTTAATCCACACGAATTATGTAACATCGACATGCTTTCATGTATAATCTTTCGTAAATGCAAAAAGTCTGTAGATTCTTACTCGTCGTTACATTCTTAGCTTTTTATATGCTTTGTAGGAGTTATGGATGTGAAAAAAAAAATAGCAGGAGCAGCAGCAGCAACGCGGCACAAACTATCATCATCACTATCACTTTAAAGCTATGAGATAATAAAAGTTTATTGCAGTAACGTTTACACTTCCTTTTGGGAAGTTTTGTCAGATTTTTATGGGGGTACTTATATATCGGGGTATGGAAGGGTTAAATAGTTTTATTTGTTTAGGACTTTTCGTCATTTTTATGAAGTAAATAAGAATTTTGAATACATGAAACACATGTCTTAGAATTTTATGTCGCAAAATGTCAAGGACTATAAATGACGTCAATGCTGCAATATTTAGGTATGTTTTAAGTGTGAAAAGATTTTTAGGATGTTTGCAGGATATTCTTAGATGCTCATTGATATTTATGATTTTATGGACATTAATGAATATTTTAAGATTCTTAAGGGTCTTTTGAAAATCATTGACGCATTCTTAATTTTGAGGGCATGTCACATCGTTGTCATATAGACAGTACTAAATGTAATGACTGAAAAATCAAACAGGAATGGGAATAGAACTCAAGACTTAATAGAAAAACTTTTCTTAGATTTGAGATCTGTGACATAACTTCTTGGCTATAGATTCTCGACTTTCACATTGCCAGATTCGCCTACATAAACTCAACATTCCACTCAGCAATGTCACCATAATAACAATCTTTATAAACTCCTCACCTCATCAATAGATCCTCCAATATGCTTCTCTGCCAATGGATCTGTGCTTTTGTCACTAATCAAATCATTTCCACTATCATGTCGTCGATATTTCTGCCAACAATAGCTGTTTAAATGAAGAAGAAATAGTCATGAAATTTAATTATTTTCACAATCGCACATCGAGCATAAGAAAATGAGAAAATAAAGTTTTACAGACGTTCAAGATGAAAATTAAATAATTTCTTGCATCTTCTTATTTTAAAATAGACTCACCGTATCATCAGCACAATTATGACACAGAGGAAAAGCGGCGCCAAGGTAGCTAAACATGCCAGGAGCAATGTCTGAATATCATAGAAATCTGCACAGAAAGAATAAAAATTGAATAAATAAATATTCGTTAAGAGAAGTAAAAATTTAATTTTTCTCAGTCATTCTTCTTCCTCTGATTCCGCTACTTCATTCTATTTTTTTTGCTGTCATCATCATCAACATCGTAATTTTTTATTCACAGAAGTGCATACAGCAAAGAGAAAAACAGTTTTTGAGCTGCAAAAGTACATTTACATGAATTATTACCATTTCAAGTTTGCAAATGTAAGCATTAATGACTTTGTGCATTTGTAAATGTTCTCAGAGCTTAAATTTCTTGGAAAAATTGCACTCATTTCCTTTGTTGAAGGGTGCTTTCGTCATTCATAGAGATTTTGTAAGAATAATTAAATAAAACCCTGACTTGTCGTTAATGCTGTTTTGAAGGATGCATGATGACAATTTACTGTGTTAATCAAGAAGATTTTAATGCTGTAAAAGCTTTTGATGCTTTATTTGTTTACAGCTTTTGATAAATTTCATACATTTTTATTACTATTAAGTATCTATAAAATGCTCCATTTTGTATTGTAAAATACGCAGGTCTGATTCAGATCTTAAGTTGATTTTAGGAATGAGGAGGTCCTCCGACCGAACCCTGCTTACATACATCAAACTCAAACAGCACAAGTCGGTTAATCAAATAGATATCCGGCGCAAGCTAGCATTATTTTGGCATAGTGCTGCCTTTGATTTAAATCGAGAAATATGCCAGAGTCACACTGGATTAGTGCCTGTTTTCTGATCGATTAACCGACTTGTGTCATTCGGGAATGTAATCTAGCTTGAGAGATCAATATGGTATTTTGAGATTCGAACAAAAGACTGTCCAAGAGTCATACAAACAAGAGCCAAGCTTCTTGCTGATTCCTCCACATAGACTTTTAAAATCTGCCTTCTTTAATCAGCAAATTTAAGTCATAAAATTAAGCCAATATTTTCACTAAACTCAAATCATTGATGTTGCCCCCGTAAATGTAATTAATTGCACAATCAACGAATTAATTCGATACTTTTAATTTTAATTTTCATCGCAACCTTTTACGAATCACTGAGTTTTCATTACATTTAACACATTTTATGGTTGTCTAACTGCCAACAGATCATATTACCTGTGAACCGCCGGTGAGCACTAATGAAAAAAAGATCCACGCACATAATAAAAAAAAAGTTGAGCTTAGTCGACACGACCTTGACCATCAAATTTGAATTATTCTTAAGCGTGCTTATGAATAATTTTTACATTAATGAATATACAGTATACAGTAAATTAAAAATAAATCGAGAATTTTTACGGATGTTTAATGATTTTTGGGATGGGAGAAGGATTAAACTTTGCAACATTAACCTCATTCGCTTAACGAGGTAGGAATTGAAGCATTTTCAAAATATTTGCTTTAATTTTAAACGAGGCAAAGAAAAATATTTCAAATAAATACATTAGAGGGAATATTAAGGCTGTAATTAGATCTAATTAAGTTTCCGTATTTATGTTTGATGTTTTTTAAAATAATTTTTAAGCAACAGCAAATAAATAAATATGAGGAAGGTTTTTTTTTGATTTTCATTACGGACTGAAACTTTTGGAATTAAATGGTTGTGATAAAAAAGACAGTTGTTGCAGTAATGAAAGTGAGAGGTACTCGAAAGACAGTGCAGACACTATAAACATTCAATTGTAGACCTGTAAGTCTTATACCAAAGTTAAATTAGAATTTGGACAGTCTGTCAACTTTTACATTCTGCATGAAGCATCTTTGGAGCCAAATTTTTAATAACCAAAACCTCTAAAAACTTAATAATTCATATCCAAAAAGGCTTAAAAGCCACGCTTAAAAATTCATTTAACCGTCCATCCTAACCCCAAAAATACAATAGATTTTAATTTGCCATATTTCCTGTCCTGTCAATTTCACAAGATCCTCAAGAAACTCATTTAATAAACAAACAGCCTCTTAATTTCCCATTGCATGTCATCAACATCCTGACAGATTTATCTCGCTGATGATCTAACGTCAACCAGAAATAATGGCAATTGTGGACTATTTTACTTAAGTGCTGTCCTCAGTGTCATGAAAAATGACATAAACTCTCCATGATGGGCAATTAAAATGAGTACATGAGGCACTCCGTTAAGAGTACTTAGCTGTATTTATACTGCAGTATGAATATTCATCAAAAATGCTGAAAATGAAGGTGAGACTAATTCGAATGTTGTTGAACGTTGTCTATGTGACAATGATAATGATGATTATATTAATATTACATTACTTAATTTAATACAATAATGGCTGAAGAGCTTTTAGACTTGAATATAGAATGGCATAATTGGTGGTTCTGTTGTCTGTTGGGATTATGTGGATAATTTTGTGCATGGAAATTGAGCTTAATGTAAAATTTTAGGAAGGCAACTGCTACAATATTCAGATAAGCCTATTTGAATCGTTGTTTTGTTGGAACCGACAACTTTTTTACATGATAAAAAGCTTCATGAAAATCTAGTGACAAAAACTACCTCAAGCATTCATCCGGTGCCCAAAAAAATCTCAGCATCCATTCCTCAATCACGGAAATATTGCCTACGAACATCTTACATTGAGTAAAGAAAGAGCTGCGTACGTGACGTATTAATAAACGTACATTGGAATTAAATTTCCTTTTCCTACCAAACATGTGTCAAATAAAGACGAGAAAACTCCTTCCTGCATGTCGACTATTCAAGTTCTAATGTACATGACAAAGAGCTCACGAAATTCTACCTTGTAGCAGTTATAATGACACGAAAAATAAATGTCACAATTCTCAACTACAAATTGTAATTTAATGGAAGCAACAAAGTTAGTCGAGGAAGAGAAATGAGAAAAAAAAGAAAATTTTACATTTTCACTGCCTACAAACCTGTACCGTCAATGTCCTCGCTATCAAGTGTAATGGCAGCTGTGACATTCGAGTATGGGCTAGCGACTGTTGTCATGTTTGTGCCATTAATCACCGTGTTGACACTAATACTATGTGTCCTATTCAATGGCGATAATAACAACGTACCATTAGTTGTTTCAAGTTCACGCTGCTCATCAACATGCAGTTCATTTTTCACGAGACGCCCGTTGACAGCAAATGGTGAGTATTCAACATGATAACCTGGTTGAGGTCGATTGTTATTGCCATTTTCATAGTCTTCGGAGAACATCAAGTCCTCCAGTTCAATTTGCGGTGGTTCACCAATAATTGGAATATTAATCGATGGCATATCCTTTAGTTCAACGGGTTGTACGACAACATCAGATGTTAGTGGAATAATATGATGATTTTCCGATAATGCGCCATTATTTGAGGATTCCTCGACATCCAAAAATGCCTCGCCAATGTAATTTATGTCTTTTGGATCGAAATCACTAGTTAATGGCGAGAGAACAATGTCTTCCTCATATTTATCGATAGCTGGTGGTCGAATTGGATATTCATTTAACGAGCGATTTTTAACAATGACAGTGGTCGATGGAACATCAACGATTACATCCTCTTCATAAATTGCTGGATACTTCCTTCTTTCTTGGGTCTCATTCGGCGATAATGTCGGAATTGATTCAATCAATTTCACTTCTGTATTGGAAATATAGAAAATTGTATCAGAGTCTTTGTCAGTCGTCTTTATCTTTATGTCATCTCCACTTCCTCCGTTACTCATTTCAATGTTTTTGTGCTTCACGCTGGGCAATTCAAAATGAATTGTTGCTGGTCGAGATTCATCGTCATCGGATATAGTTTTTCTCGCAGCAGTAGCAGCTTCATCATTCATGCTGTTATCAGATTGAGTTGTGGCTGAATTATTGTTATTATTTTCCTCAATATTGCCTTTTGTTGTCACTTCCTCCTGTCCAGAGTCTTCAATTAAAACGATCTCTAATGAGCTTGTCTTGTTACCGACAGCATTTGTGGATGACAATTTTTCTGTCATATTTGCCATTTTCTTACGTAATTCCTCCTCAGCACGATTCAAAACACTGATATCGATACTGTCTATAATTAGTTCGCCGTTTTCAATTGACACATTTACATTTTGATGCGGCAAATCGATATTGTCAAATGTTATTTTAATATCACCATTGCCTTCATTATGTTTCACTTCATTCCACGTAATGCCATGCGATATGGCAGAAGAAGTAGTCACTGTCTCACTGTTTGTGCCTTCATTGACTAATATTATGTCATCATTTGATGTTGTCATCGACATTTTCTCATTCTTCTCGACTTGAGACGATATTGATGTCGTTGATGATGTTGAGACTGTAAAAATTTCATCTTTATTGTCATTTGAGACGGTCGTCGTTTCGCTGCCATCGTCAATGAGATCCATTTTGATTTCAAATGAATTTGTTGAATTTTCTTTGCCGAAATTTTCCATTACATCAACGACAATAAGACCACTACTGTTGCTGTTCAGTACAATTACATTATCTTTATTATTATTATTATTCACATGTACATCTGCGGTTACAGATGTTTTCATTTCATTTGCATTTAATGTAACAGGAACTGGAATATTTGTTGTTATTTCTGTTACCATCTCCATTGTACTTGTGAGAGTTGTGGACTTGATTGTAGTCGGTACCGTTTTAATTGAAGTTGAAATTGCGGTCGATGTTTCACTTCCATCTGTTTCGTACATGGAAGGAGTTGCGCTAGTTGAATAATTTATATCCATTAAGGGTTTTTGCTGTTTAATTTTTTGCTGCTCCTGCTTGTGCATCCATGATTTACCAACTGTTTTTGCTTCATTTAAAATTTTCTTTTTTGTATCCTTTAATTTTGCCTTCTGAAGCTTTCCTTTGTCACTTTTTAGATCTGCACTAATTGGCATTTCAATTATTGACTGCACACTGTCCTTATCGACATTTGACGTGATTGGAATTGCCATGGCAGTTGACGAATCAAAATTAATTGATTTATTTTTATTATTCATTTCACTTGTAGCCGGCAATTCGACAGTTGTTGCTGTCATGGTCGAAAAGTCTTGATCCATAACGGATGATTGCACACGAGTTGCCCCTGATTCATAACTTTCATGAATTTTTATTGTTTCATTATCCTTAAACGTTTGTGTACTTGATGTCATTTCCGGCAGTCGTGTACTTTCATCTGCTGTTGGTGTTATTTTTTGAATGGACGCAGGCTTTGTTGTAACTAGATCATCATCTATTGTTGTCGGTGATTTTTCGAGTGTTGAGGGCAGCTGTGTTGATTTCATATCCATAATTGATTCAACAGCAGATACAGTGCTTGTTATCATATCATTCATTATATCTCTTGTCGTTGCTCGAGCACTCTCGTTCATCACTGTCGGTGTTGGCGCTGACAGTGTGAATGTAAAGTGCGCTATTAGTAGCAATGATGATATTAACGTCCTCATGGCTGGATAATCAAAAAAATTGAAAATTTCTTTATTATTATTGGATGTGCCGTAAGGATGAACCTTTTTATATTCTAAATTTTTTTTCCTATAAATGCTTATGGCCTTTTTTTTTGTTCGTTACGTTCTCGTCTCTTCCTTTCGTTTACCTTCTTCGTTACTTCCTCTTATTCAAATTTAAAAGACGACGGATGATGATAAGAGAGAATTTTCTTATTCCTTATACTTATTACTATTTATTAGTACAATCAAGGAGCTCTTGGCTTTTTTGTCATCTGTTATCATTCTAAATGACTTTCACTTTTTTAATTCCTTTTTGCCTTATCGATGTCTATTTGTTCATTCTAAAATGTGACTTGAATGGTGGATGATCATCATAATCATTACTTGCGCTTCTGTTCGATTTACTATTCATTGATGAATAAAGTCGATGGAAAATGCATGCCTAGAATGAGAAATGAAGGATGAAATTTAAAGGTTAGTGATATGTTGTTTTTAAATTGGATGTTTTGTTGAATTATCAAGTTTAAAATGTGGAATTTTTCTTGGAAAGCTTGTAAATTATATGTTTTGTAGTTTTGTGCCTCAAATTCTGCTTTGTATGGATGAACTTTTCATTTTTGGAGATTTAGAATTTTAGAGAATCTAAAAAAAAGTTCTTTTGACAACTTTTGGCGACTATATTAAACAGAAAACTAAAATATGTCTACCTCCTTGAAAACAGTTATTTTCTGGTCCATTTTATTTATAGTAGTGTTGCAAATGTAGATGTCTACACTAGATGAAGAATGTAGATTCTTCAATAGTTTTTGTCTAGCTAAGAAACTTTCTTCATAAAGATCGATTCTATATGAAGATAGAAAATCTAATCTGCACAAAGATTATTTCTACATAAAGATTCTGTCTACATAAAGATTCGATGTAGATGTCTACAATTCTACATTTTTTCCAGGTCTACATCAGAGAAAAATGTAGAATTGTAGACATCTATATCGAATCTTTATATAGACAGATTCTTTATGTAGAAATAATCTTTGTGTAGATTAGATTTTCTATCTTCATGTAGAATCGATCTTTATGAAGAAATTTCTGTCTCAGAATTTATCTGATCCAGACAAATGGATCAAATAAATCAAAAAAATCAAAATTTACGAAGATTCTTTGGACTATTACTTTCTTATTCAACAAGCCAAAAAAGCCTCACTTATCTCTGAGAGGATGTACAAAATGATGACAATAAAAAGAATATTGAATGGCAGATTTTTGTCGAAAGCAATAAAGTAAGTACATTTTACGCAATACGTAAAAATTTTCAATAAAGCATTCACATTTCTTCGAAAGTTTCGGTTTGGGATAAAAATTGATTGTTTAAGAAATTATTTGAAGAAAAATGATTTTTTTACTCATTCGAGCATTAAAGAGGAAAATTTGAAGAAAATTTTTATTATAAAATTAACTTTTCTGATGTTTCTAAAGATTCGTGCTCCATTTTGAAGAATTAGCAAGTATTAGTATCAAAATTGTTTAAAAACAACGAATGCTGCTTTCGAAAGAATTTAATTAATTTCTAGGAATTTTTTGTTTTGTTCTGCTTTCTCAATTATGAGTTTTTAAGAACCACCTAATTGGATTTTTTCAGAAATTCAATCTAATTTTTTCGATAAAACATCAAAAATTGATTAAAGCCGAAAAAATCGGCATCAATTTCTAATTGTTGATAATAATATGTCCCAACTACGCTTACTTATTGAAAATCTTAACATTTCGGTTTAAAGCATTTAAACGAGCCAAATTAATATTTTCTGAAATCAACAAAACGTTAAGAATAATAAGCCCCAAGGCTTCCTTCTGAAATTGTTTGAAATTTTTTTTTCTTGGAAATGAAATACAAAACTTTATTGTTTGAAAAGTTTACTGACTGGATTCGGCTTGAATGATTTTAGATTGTTATTATAAAAGAGACGATGGAAAATTAAATAAAATCGTGAAGTACCTATACAGCAAATGGAATGGTAAAATGCCGTAAATATGGTTTAAATCCTTGTAATTTAAACAACAATCTATGTTTTGGTTGATTAGGAAAGTCTGCAGTTTAACCACTCAACTACAGGCTTTACTATTATACTGAGAGAATATGTTGAATAAAGCCATTAACTCTAGACTTACATTTGCATCAACGAGACACAAAATTAAAAATTGTGTCTAGCAGAGCGTTTTTCATTCGATCTTTTATATGATGCTTGCATGAGCTCTGTCCCAAATTGTTAACCAAATAGTTTCTCTTGATCATAGATTTTAGATCTAATTTGATTGGAAAATCATTCAAAATCCAACAAAAAATGAACAAAGGTCCAAAAAACCCTATTTTGATGTTCCTCATTTGAGAATGACCATAAATCATATTCAAAAGAAATAATTTAAATTTAAAAATATCTTTTTAAACAACTTTAACATCCAGCTTGACCCAAATACACAGAAAATCATATTTGACTTATATTTCTTCTTATTCCATCCCAATTACCATTTAATTGGACAGAAAATGTCTAATTTTTGCTTATTCACAAAAAAAGTACCTTTGCCGTTCTCAGAAGATTAAATTTTTACTTCAGACTTTTATGAGGACATCAAAAAGGCTTTTTTTAACATTAAGAAAAGGAAATATACTGAAAGGTATCCACTTTGAGAATCACATAAATCAAATTCAATTTACGAGAGCGAGTAAATCTTAAAAAATAAAAATATTGAGAAAGGAATAAAAAAAAATCTTCTATAGCCAATTTTTGACAACATCATACAAACAAGTACTTTATTTGAGCAGGAAACTTAATAAGAATCGAGAGCTAATTTTTAAGGAATCTTATAAACGAGGAACTCCATCATAAAAATACTTTTGAACGAGGGAGAAATTTTTTTATACGTTGTAAAGAAATGTCGAAATTCTTCCTGTTCATCGTTGCTCTCTCTTTCATTCGATTCATATTTTATGAGTCAATTATGGTGCTTGTTACATTCACTTCTTGTTGAAAATGCTTTTCACGAAATTTTTCGAGAAGGTTATGACATCAATTCTTTCGCTTTGTCTGGGTTTTGATTGGGAAAGGGAAGTTTTATTGCTGTTGTGGAGAATAAAAGAATAGACGAAAAAAATTGAAGTTTTAAATAGAATTCACGTGTTAAAATGAGAATAAGAGCTGCAGCTGGATTGTTGGTTGCATGGTTTGAATTTTATAAGATCTGGTTCTTGGCTGAATCCAGCAGCTAGGTTTGATACTCCCATTTAAATGATTTTTTTTGATTTTTTTTGGGGCAGCCAAAAACGTCTTCAAAAGAGTGGTTTGGATTTTAATATAAATTGTAGTTTTAGGTTTGAGCGGAAGGGCTAGATAACTCTCACTTGTTAAACTATCAGTAGCTTTATAATGCATATAACGCAAAGCTATGGTTCTTTAAGGTCTGACAACAAAAGTTTTTTTATTCGGTAAACATAGAACCTATCTTCTGGTAAGATTTAAACAAATTTCTGGTTCAGAGATTTAGATGACACCCTTGATGATTAATATGGTTGATTTCTAGTTAAATAGAGTTGACTAAAGTTGAGCTATGAACAAACACACGACTCCATTACAGACGCAAACATTTAGAATTAAATCCTAATCTGTCAAAAATCCTTGCTACTCAATAGACCAGGCATTTACAAGTCTAAAAGATTTTTTTATGTTAATTTAACTTCTCAGAAAATTCTTTCAATAGCCAAAAAGCATAGCATAATTTTCAAGACTCAACAAACTTCCTTACTTGCTACCGTCTCACGAATATAATGTGTTTTAGAAATCTCGATAGAGATGATTGTCAAATAAACATGTAACATTGCTAGTTAATAATAAAGCTTTCACTTCAGTAAGCTCTAGCATCTCCTCACACCCATTTTTGACTATCGAAATTATTGAAACGTTGCAAGCTACAGAAATAAAATTTTATTTCCATGCAACGAGCTTAAAATTCTGCAATTCTTGCAAGTATCAGTCATAAATATAAACTATAAATTTCAACTTTACCATTGTAACTAATTGACTTGTAAATTCGAAATGGGATAGGAATGATTTATTGCTTGAAGTTCTTGGGTGCTAACGATATGAAAAAAATTATTATTTTTATGTGAAATTGAAAAATTAAATGGATTACATGGAATGTGGAGGAAAAATAATTGTTGGTAGTGGCTTTTAAAAAGCTCCAAACAATTACCTAAAGTACTCAATGTTCTTGGCTTTATCACATAGAAAATAATTTTGTAGATGAAAAAAAAAATTTATGTGCAAAAACTTACTCTGGAGTTAGGTAAAGTTTTGTAGTTTAACTTAAAACAAGCCAAAATGATTTAAGGGATTTGAAAATTTATTTGCATTGTAGTAAAGCATAAATGTGAAAATTTTTATTGCCAACAGAATTTAAATTTTCTAGTTTCATGAAAATTCTTATTTTTATCGCTGACTGGGGAAAATGTGAGATTATTGAGTGTAAATGGAAAGGAAATGACATGATAATTTGTAGTCTGACAGAAGAAAAACCAACCCTTAATGATAATCAAGAATATTTCTAGGGGAATAAAAGTTGTGGCTTGAATGTGTGATGATTATGGATACATCAAATTAAATTGATGGTACAATTTTGAATTTAATTAAAATTTGCTGAGTCTTTTCTAGTGTTGTCAATGAAAAAGTTTTGAAGCTTTTAGTGCTGAATTTGAATTTTGTTGAATTTTTATAAAAACTCAAACGCAGCTATAAAGTTGTAAATTTTATCATTTCTGTTCATTTTAATTTTGGGACCGTTTACTTATGATGGAGGAAGGGGTGGGGGGTCAGACAATAGAAATTCTTGGAAATCGATAGTTCTATTTCGAAAAATGACCGTTAATTTCAGACGACATAAATGAACGACACCTTTAGGGACCGTTCACTAATGACGTCCGACATTTAGGGGGGAGGGGGGTCTAGGATTTTGTGACAGTTCAAACAATGGAAATTTTTTTCTATAGAATTTTTGTGACAGAGGGGGGGAGGGGGGGAGGGGGGGAGGGGGGAGTTTAAAAATCAGGTTTTTTAATGGACGTCATAAGTGAACGACTCCTTACTGGATATTTTTAAAATATCAATTTTTAGCAATCGAAGATCAAAAGATTAATGATTTGATAACAATGAAGCTTGTTCTAATGTACAAATAAATGAAACATCAAATTTTTAAAAATGAAATGTTTCTAAACAGAGATTTTAAATTTTGAATTAAAAGATTGGTAATTTTAAAAAACTCAATTTGCAGATGTTTCTGGACATAAAATTATCCAAAATAAATTTATAGGACTCTAATTTTTTAAAAATCATTAATTAATTTAAATCATTTCTAAATTGCAATTTACATCATTTCATTTTAGAAAATCAAACTTTGATTGAACCTTAATTTGTTATATCCATTAAAAATTTACAGCACTTATAAAAATTCCACATTTTCATAAATTTCTAATTTTTTCTCCTTCCAAGAATTCAAAGGTCAAATTTGTTATGCTCTATATTTAGCACAGGCTTATGTCCATAAAATAATTTCAAGGAAAAAGAGTTTGTGCATATTGGAGAAGATGAAGCACAAAATTTGTGCCTTGAATTTTTTACAGCCTGAATAAAAGAAAATATTAGCTGTAAAATTATTAATAAAAATGCAAAAAGTTTCCTTCAAGTCGAAAATTCTCATTTGAGCTGTCTTCAATTTTCATTTCATTTTCTTAAAAGTGCTATAAAGTCATAAATTCTCATTTTACAGCGAAATGTCCTCAGAAAATTATAATAATTTTTAAAAAAGACACGCAATTGTGAATTCGACCCAATTAGAATATTATCTCAGTCATGAAACATCCAAAGCTCAATAGTTCTCAACAAATACTTTTGTAAGGCACACTTTTGCGTCAGAAACTTTTGTTAAAACATGTCTAAAAGTAGAAAATCTTTTCAATTGTTATTCCGAACAAAACTTATTCACTTAAATATATTTATTTAATGCATCAATAACTTCAAAAATAAATACACAGCAAATTGACGTTGAAAATTTCCTTTTTATTCTCGGCATGAAACTTTTCAATGGAAACTTTTTTATGCATGACTTCGGAACCCTTCGACTGAACTTTACATGAAGTTCACACAAAAGTTTTGCCTTTCCTTTTTTTATGATTTATTAACCATGAATGGAGGAGAGCAAGGAGAGAGAAGGAGAGAAGTAAAAAGTTTGACCTTATACTTTTCTGACTATGTGCTTTTTTCATCCTGGAAATAAGAAGAGTTTGGTATTTAAAAAGAAAATGGTTTCAGTTTGTGATAAACTCTGCATGATGTGTGATCTTCATCAAACTTTGTGATTTCAAGAATATTTGCTCAATTTATTTTTAATTCTGACTTTTTTCATTTGACTAATTGATTGAAGATGTTCATCATTGGGACTTTCAGTTTAAAATTTTGATATAAGGGGCCGTTCACTTATTACGTAATGCGAAAAAACGACTTTTAAGACACCCCTCCTCCCTCGGAACAAAATTTGGATGAAAAAAAATTTCTTTTGTTTGAACCGTAACAAAACTTTAGACCCCCTCCCCCTAAAAGCGTTACGTAATAAGTGAACGGCCCCTAAGAAATCCTTCAAAGTTTAATTTTCTTCTATTTCTTGATTGAAAAAAATTGTGCGTATTTAATTAAAAACAATGATTTTTGAAATATTCCTTGACATTATGAATGTACATAGTCTCAAGGTTCTCGGTTTAGCTGAATATAAGTTAATCTATATAATATCAATAATTGAACATGCTTCAAAAATAAGAAGGCCTTTAGAATCAACGAACCAAGTCAAAAATCTACAAATGAGTCCGGATCAAAGTCCATGGAAATCCATGAATTCTGTCAGATGATCCGCACCCTTTTCATTTCATTTCATTTTATTTTGAAACCATTTCGGTTGTAATCCAAATATTTTCATTTTCATAATTATTTCACATTAATTCATTTTATACTAATTCACAAAAGCTTAATAACTTATCCAGAGTGGGCTCAAATTCAGATATTTTTCCACCAAGTCTAGAAAAAATAGAAGTTGCTCTAGAGCTATGAGCAGCATTTTTGCTTGTAGCTTCATCTGGTGATAATTTTTTGCTGATTTTAATTCTTTTGGCTTTTGAAAAATCATTCAGTTCAGCTGAGATCAGATCAGTTTTACTCAGTAAAGTCACACTTTCAGATACAGAAGATGATGAGAACTTATTTTGAATTTAAATCGCATCCTTCACCAAGAACGCATGCACTGTTTCAGAGGAAAATCTAGGTATACCAAACGTTAGAATCAGCACAAGACTGAAATTTCAGTCCAAAAATAACATTAAATTTACTTAAAAATATATTTTGCAAGGCAGTATATAAATCATGCATAGTGATTCGATCACTGATCTTAAATTTACCTAGTAAAAGATTATATATGTTGCCGTTATGGAAACCATACAGAGCATGAGAGCTCTTACAGGAGAGATTAACAAACTTTACATTTGGAATTATCACTAGAAATAAGAGCGAGTTTTCTATTAATAAGGGAAATTTCCCGTCACAAATATTAATTATATTGTCCACTGATTTCTGATTCAATAATTTTCTCCCCAGACGATCCTCGTAGATTCGGATCAAGTAATTCTTAAGAGAGTTACCTCGGTTTCTGTCAGATGATTCGCACCCTCCCCAAATAACACCAAACTACACAAAAGCTTTCTGTTTGATTCCAATATTCTCAAAAGATTATAAGGGGCCGTTCACTTACGACGTCCAGGGGGGTCAGCAAGAAAAGAACAATAGAAATTCCTGGAAATCCATTGTTTTTTTTTGAAAAATGACCGTTAATTTTGGACATCATAAATGAACGACCCCTAAGAATGACAATCAAAATTTATAGATATGCCAAATCATATTCTTAATTCAAAGATTGTATGACAGCAAGTTAAACATCAAAACTAACCCCATTTCATGACCTTTCTGTCCTGAGAGAAATTTCCTCTAAAAAATTGGAAAACTTTTATTTTATTATTCTTTAGAAACAGCACAAAAAAAAACTTTTCACGAAAATATTTGAAACAATAAAATAATTTCCCATAAGACCATTGCCGCACGTTTAAAATATTTATGTGCTTTTTTTTTGTATTTCGGTTCCTTCAACCATTTTTTTTCCACTGAAATGTGTGCGAGAAAAAAAAGCGTAACGACTTACCATAAAATTGTAATTAAGTCTCTCAATGAGCTGCTTATAATCCAAAATTGCGAATGGAAATGTGTCTTCTAAGTACACCGAAGAAGTATGGAGAAAAACTTCTTAATAACTACATTAAACTTTTCTCATTTCCATTTCTTCTTTACATCACACACAAAAAAAAATGAATTCCGTTCCTTTTTTTGCTTGTTCACACGAGAGTTGACTTAAAACTTTTTTTTTACTTTCTTTGGCACTTCTCACGTTGTTTTTGAATTAAGATTGAAGCACTTTGTGTCTCGTATTATCTTAATGAGTAATACTTTCACTACTTTTCAATGTCTTTGTTCTGAATTATTTGCTTTTAATTTTCAAGTTTCTATTTATTTTTTTGGCACACAAAAGCTTCAATTCTCTGCTGAATCTTTTTGTTTCACTTATGGCAAGTTTCACTTTTTTTCTTAATGCTTGTTCACTGTTGTCCATACATAAAGGACAAGGGGGAATAGGAAGAAGAAAAAAATTTAATTAAGACTAAAGCAAACTGTCATTCTTGTTGTGAGAAAATCACACAATTGAATTTTTTTCTGCTCTTTTTCTTCTCGTTCATGTTGGACAAGATTCGAGTTTGATGTAGGAAAAATAGCCACAAGAAAGTTTTTCTTCATTTGCGACTAAATACTGCAGATAATTGGGATTTCAGTTGTGACAAGGCTTTAAGGGGGTTGGTGTAGGTGGTAGACAATTTAGTTAAGGAAATTTGCTAAAGTGTTGGGTGAAATGAGGTTATTACAGCCCTTAAAGCGCATTGCAAGGCGATTAAGATTATTGAGATTAGGATCTGCAATTAAATTCATTTGTTCTACGTCTACGGGTCATTTTTTGAGTTCTAGACATGCTGATGACATTCAAAATTGAGACACATACCAAGTTTGAGAATTTTGACATAATTAGCCACTAATTTATTTTATACATGTCAAATAAAGAGAGAACTAATTAGATTCACCATCAGTCACACTCTTACGTTACCTACAGATAGGAGATGTGGTAAAAATTAATAATCTCATCTCGTTAATGTCAGAAGTAAGCATCTTGAGCAACAATAGGTAATTATATCTTGAACGCTAAAACTTGTTGTGATAAGATTCGAACCTACGATCACCAAGTTAAACTTTAGATTTTCTGAATTCAAAAACCCTTATTCCTGAGCTATCGGATGACTTTAACTTTAAAAGCACATTCTCACTTAATAAGATATTGTTCCTCGACTAAAAAGTCTTATTCCAAGAATAAACCGAGCGGCATAATTGAAAAATGTTTGCTGAAGGTTCCACCACAGATTCCATATGAACGCCGGCTCAATATGGCTTCCATATAGTCCAATATATCACTCCGAAGCAGAACCTTCACGAAACCTTTTTTTCCATTGTGCCGTTCGGGTAAATATACTAAAATCGAAGTATCTCTATTATTCCAACCAGACACCACAACCATTTTTCACATAATAAAGTGAATGCTCATGTAAATTTATTAAGATACCGTTTAAAATAAGTCCAGCAAGCTCCAGACTAATAAATAGTTCGTAATCCTTATCTTGATCTTGATATCTCATTCCAATATCCCGCACGCAAAAAAGAATAAAATTCTCACGTTTCGTAAAAGTTTCCACCCCTTAACTTAATTCACATAATCATAGACACGAGCATACATTCAGTCATACGACAAGTCTGAAATTTTCATTCAGGCTAAAATAAATACACACAGAATATTAAAGAGCTTGACTGTGGATGGAGAGCATTTACAAAAAATTGTCGTTTTTAACTTTCAGCTAACATGACGTTATCCTTTTTATGTTCATTACAGCAGCGTTAATTAGCACAATTTTTTTTTCTATGTCTTTTCCTAGCTGTCTTCCATTCTTTATGTCTCTATTGGATTGAAAATTCTTACAGCTTCTTCTATGCTCTTTTACTCGTCTATCTTTTTCCATCTGTTTATGGTTTAAGATATCTTTTCGCTATTGAAGGATTAAACGGAAGGATGAACGGAAAGTTGCGGTATATTGTACAAAAAAATATATAATTGTGGGAAATTGAGGGTGAGTGGGAAATGAAATGAAACGAAAAAACAAAAAAAAAGGCACTTGGAAATGAAAAAAAAAACATTAGGAAATGAAAATCAATGCACAGCTTTTTTTGCTGCTTCTGCAGCATTCTCATCTCTTTCCTAGTAATGAGGTCGGATTCAATTGTTTTTGATAACAATGGATAATTTATTTTGGTCATTATGCTGCAATGGATGATGATGATGTAATTTTTTTGCTCTCTCTTTGCTAAGCTCAATGCATACAATGTTCGATCTGGATGGGCTATTTCGCTTTAATTGGGATTCTTATTATTATTGTGAAATGGATGAATCCGATGGGAGCAAAAAAATATTTTTTTTTGTGGATAAAAGAAGGAATGAAGCAAAAAAAAAAGCTTACAACACAGAGGAAAAAATTACATGAACATTAAGTCTTGATTGCATAACAAAAGGAAATGAGCACAAAGAGCTTTGTTTGGTTTCTGTTGTTTTTCTGTGGATTTTGTATGCATTGTGGATGCTTTTGTACACCTTTTTGAATTTTTGTGGACTTTTTTAAAGCTTCTGAAAGGTAGAAGTCATTTGTCAATGACAACCATTGGATGATGCCTTTAAATGCAATTGGCTGTCATTTTTAATCTACTCCACAAGCCACTCTCCATGCCAATCCACAAAACTCAAATTATCAAATCTACAAAAACCACATCTCTCATTGTCTAACTCAAATACACGTACAGCACCCTAGGGCTATTGACAGAAGAAGTGCCAATAGATGAAGCTAGCACCATTGGTGCCATAAACTTGACAACAATTTAATTAAGACTAGAAACGACCGCTTTGTGCTGCTCACTATTATTCATGAGATGATAAACCGATGTGACTAACCGCATAAATCCTCAATGAATTTCCAATTATATCTGAAAGTGTATATCGTTATGGAATCACGTACATTCAAATCCCATATCTCAATTCTTTAAATAAAGCTAATCTTGTTCGTGCAATAGGAACATACCGTTGAGTATGAATTAAGGTAAAGCATAGCAATATACAAAATGTAAAGTATGAAGACATACCGTAAAGTAAATAGAATAAAGGTACTTTATTGTATTTTGCATTTTATGCTTGTGCCTGAGTCACACACATACATAAAAATCCCTTTCTAAAGAAAATATTAAATTTTTAATAAATTTTCATCCCAAATGGATTTTGTTTGGGTATTGATGGGAATTTATGTGAATGGGAAATTGCTTTTAGGTATGAACATTGGTAGAACCTTGAACTCAAGACTCAATCTTGTAAGATTTAAATGAAAATCTTCAAAATGTAAAACTTTTCCGCTCAATAATTTCAAACATTTTTCATTCTCGTTCCTTCATTCTTAAAAATTTTATTTAAAATTTCAAGTCAGTTCCACAAAAATTCTTCATCTTATTTATATAAACGTTAAATTCTTTTCAGAAATTTTATGAATTTCATGATTTTTTTTGTTGAAATTTTTTAAATTTTAAATAAATTCATGAGAAATAAGCATAAGTGTTATTTAAAGTATTTTGATTGTTTTAGGGATTGTAAATATTTAATGAAAGCTTAAATGATGAAATTTTCATTATTTACATAAATAAAGTTAAATTTCAGTCTCGTGAGAAAGAGGGTTTGTTTTTGTTGATTTCATAAATTACCGGTTGTGGTGGAAAATTTTAAATGAAGATTTTTAAAGTTTTTTCAAATTTCTGAACTTTTTTTGATTTTTTTTGGTAATTTTAATTATTGAATCAAAATTATTAATTCAAATTTTATTGATTTTGTGTTGCAAGTTTTAATATTGTCTTGTTTTCAGTTGGTAATATTTTCTAAATTCTGGGATATTCAAAAAAAGGTACATCATGGAGAGGGTCCAGCCTTTTTGAAGATTGAAAAATTTGAAAAATTCAAAAACTTAAAAAATTCAAAAATTCAAAAAATTAATAATTTTAAATTACTTTATTAATAAAAATTTTTTAAAAACAATTCCAAAGTTAATCAAATCCTTGATAAATCCAGAAAAAAAGCTATAATTTAAGCATTTAATTTCAATTTTATCAAAATAAATCGGATTACCAATTGAATGAAAGTCCTTATCAATGAAAAAAAAAGCTCACACAGAGCTTAATTTAGTAACTTGCCAAATGAGTTGAAATAATCCCTTTTAAATTAATACAATCTGTCGGTGATTTTGCTACAATGTTGAATCTAATGCACTTGTTCAGTCACTTCAAATTTATTTTCACAACATTTGAGTAGTTTTTTTTGCTATCTTGTAACTACTTTGAGCAGCAGACTGTGGCAAATCACTTCTATTACTTTCCAAATTCAATTAAGGTACTTTTGAAGTCATCACTTTAGCTCGACTCAAGTCGACTTTTCCAAACAAAATCCGAGGCAACTTTAAGCTTTGTGCTTTGGACTAAGTAATGCTTTGTAGGAGTTAATGTTCAAAGGCAATTTCGAATTTTTGTAAAGCAAAGTTCGATATAGACAATTCAACTGTCACACAGCAGCCAAATTCTTTAAGCTCATCCACAGTTACAATAAAAATAAAATTGTCACTTCATTTTAACTCATCAAATAAGACATCACATAAAATGTTATGCCTAAATGAAATTTTTACTCTCGAAACAAAAAAGCTCTGAATTTTTCAATGCTCACAATTTCACATTCACAGCAGCTTTCACATCCACACTAAATCATAAAAATTCATCAAAAAAAGCATACCGGATGTCTCAATTTTTTCATGTTATCCATACAGCATGTCTTAAAATTATTATGTATGTACGTATGTCCAAAAGATATATAAATGATCCCACTATGTCAATATCTCACAAAGGCAATTTCCTTTCACAAATATTTTCTCTTCATGACACATATCATAAATTCAAGTGAATAAGGAATAAGGCAAAAAAAATTTATTTTCACCGACACATATCTCATCACGTCTTATTAACGTTATCACATCCAAAACACAGAATGAAATGAAAATGAATACACAATTTTTGTTTTGTATATTTTAAGAACGAGAGAGAGAGAGAGAGATGGAGAGACAAGGGCAAGAATATTATGCATTGGAAGTGTAATCGTAATATTGTGTTTATGTCCTCATTATTGTCTAACACACCCAAATTAAATGTGCGAGGTTCGAGGGGGAGAGAAGTGCTTCCAAAAAAACACAGAAGATATTTATTGTGTATTTCTACATGTACGTGCGGGGAGCACCCTTAAAATTTTTTTTTTCTTTATATTATTGAGAGTCGAGAGAAGCTTTTACTGCTCGTTCCAAACTCAACGCATGGAAATTTTCATTCTTTTATCGAACCTTTCCAACATGCGAAGAAACAGAATTTTTTATGAGCTTATGAAAACTTTTTTTGTCTTATTTTTCACAAATTTACAAATAATTCCGACGGGAATTGATTTAATTAAACTATTTTCACTGTTTTGCACTCACTCACAATAATTAATGTTGATTAAATTATTTTGCACTCCTCGAATTTTCCATAAATTTTCATTTCATGGAAAAAAAGTTTTTTTTTTCTTATCGACGAGAAAAACGAAACACGATCCGAACAGTTTGAGGACTGAAACACATCTGATGTGGATGCTGGATGCAGAGAGAAGAGAAAGCATCTGGATGTGCGAATGTAGAAAATGAAAATTAGGGATGATGGAAATGTAGAAAATGACAAACCCTGCCACGCAATCAGCAGTGTTTTTGATTCTTTTTATATGTTTGAAAATCGTATCGAGAAATTTTTTTTTCATTATGCAAACATCAATTTGATAAAATAAAAATTTCACGGATTTGTTATTGTTATATATTGAATTATTTAGGCAGGTATAGCAGATTGTTTTTAGGATGTAAGGTGGGTGTCTTATGAGCGCTTTTTCAATGATTGAAATTTTGATTTTTTTTTGGTTGTTCTGTTGATATCAACAGGAAGATATATTTGGGAATGAATTGATTACTATTTATTAGTAGTTTGAGGCAAAAATGGCGAACATAGCTAAGAAATATCAATATTCTATGATAAAATACTGCACATATATCAGATGCCACTAAATTTCATTCTAGATTTAGTAGATGCACAGTTTTCTTAGGTCAGCATTAATAGTTAAAAAGAGTTTTTGTGAGTTAAAAAAAAGATCTAATCAGTTTTATGATTTTCATATCCAAGGCAAAAAAGCGGGGAATTCTAGTTTTTAAGGTTTCTTAGACAACCTACTAAAGTCACAGTTCAATTTTATTCGTCCCTCATATCGAAGGACTTAGGTTTTGAGTTTAGGTTTGATTGATTGCTCTTCTATGTTTTGAACCAACTACTAAGTTTGTTTTAGAATTTTTAGGTACCACTGTACACTGTCATTTACATCATTAACGGATTAAAAAAGTGTTTCTCAATTTTTTAAGGCCGCGAAGCAGTACAGGAACAGAAAATCATCCATTCCCCTAACAGACAAACGAGTATACTCATGGTACCGTAACATACTCAAGAGTATATTCTGAACACTCTGAGTTCTGTAACACTCTTGAGTATGTTACGGTACCATGAGTATACTCACTTGTCTGTTAGGGTTCATATTTCTGTGCTATGCTGGAAACCACTATTGACACAAATAGAATTTTTTGCGGAACTGTAAAGCTCCGCAGAGCATAGTTTGAGAATCACTGGGTTAAAGGAACTAAACCTCTCTTTAATATACAATTTATTCGTTCATTTTCAGGATGCTTCGCCAATTTGTATTTAACTTTCGGAACTTCAGACAATCCGCCGTAATATCCACACACTCTCGATACAAAAAAACTGCACCAAAATATTATATTAACAAAACTGAACATGCGATTGCTGCATAAATTTTCACCGAAGCTATATTTTGTTAAATAAAAGAGTGAAAAAAATTTTACAAATTTTATTTATATAGGAACATTTTTTTTTCTTCTGGTGTCATAAATCATCTGATTGGATATTTAAATATTTGACATTACATGAAAATTAATGTGAATTGTTTAATGATTCGTTTAACGGCATAATAATAAACTTCAATAAAATTAATTTACTGTCAATGCAAATTCCTGTTTTTGTCGTCTCGTTGTTTGATTGACATTTAAATTTATGTTCATTTTCCACTACCGTTTATTGCATGTACATTAAAAGCAAGATTAAAATTCAAATTTTATGTAAATTTTTCTTTTGGTGAACCAATTAATTTTCTTTCAATTCTCGAGCAGCACCCAACAACTAGGAATGGAAAATTGAATGAAAAATGTTTATGGAAATTTTTATTTTAATTGTGAAAATTTTAATCAGTAGAAAATTATTAAGAGTCAGTGTAATTATTGAGAATAACAGGATGATAATCACTTTTATGGATGTGTTATGTTTATTGAAAGAAGAATTTAATCGCGTGTTATAATGAGATGAGGGAATTTAAAGCTAGGAGGTGATTCTCTAGGGAAATTTGGTATATGGCTTGTAATTGTTACAGACATTATTTTAAATAAAACGACATTTACTGGCGTGATGGGATTGGTGATGACTTTGAAATGGCAATGAATTTTTATATTAACTGCTCTTTGGGTAATAAGTCGATAATTCTAAGGCTGAACTTGAAATAGATTAGTGTTCTTGAATTTTGGGACTGTTATTAAGCTATTAGATTCGCGGGGTTTTTTAATTCAATTTTAATCAAGGCGTATACATTCAGGAATTTTGGGATTAATCCTAGAAAATCCCAGAAAATCCAAGAAAATCCCATCTTTTTTTCTAGTGTATACGCCTTGATTTTAATGATTTTTAAAATTTATTCAATTAGAAACCTGCTAAATTTTATAAAGATTTTAATAATCATAATGCATTCAATCAGATTCGTACTTACACTGACGATTATCACAAAAATGCACCAAAACTCAATAATGATTGCATCACAAAAAAAAAATCTATAGAAATCGGAAGCAAAGCATCAATATCCTTGTAAATTTATTCAACTTCAAAATTTCCATTCAATGCTCGTTTCCGAATAATTCAATTACTCGCCATGGTACTCCACAATTCACAAACCATACTATGAAGTAAAAAATAATTGCATCAAAAATGAACCTTTATGAACAGAAAATTGCATAAATTACTTCAATTTTCACTTTCTGTCTGTAATTAACTTAATTTTGAGCATGCATTTCATATCATTTGGCTAATTAAAATTCTCCCCAAAAAAGAGAGTCCAGTGCACTTTAATTACATTTAAATTGGATTCTGACGAGAATCCACTCGCACCTCGAAGTGTTCTTCATTATCACTAATTAATGAATTTTTTTTTATCTGAATTTTTTGTTCTAAAAAAATCTGAACTGAATTTTTAAAGATTTTCTTTTTTCGGGAGACAAAATCGTAGCCGAACTACCATAACAAAAAAGTCATTATACCTTCTCACACTACGACGCCTCTACAGTAGGGAAAAAAAGGCATTGGCAGTCTGTGTGCCGGGAGGTAGTTATGCTGAAAAAAAGTTTCTTCTTTTGTGTCCTCTACGATGGAGAAAAAAAAGGAATGAAGGCAACAGAGCAGCATGGAATCAAATTTCACCGGAGTCTGCACACATACATAATATTTTTTGTGTTTTTGAAGTATCGTGCGCAGCATAAACAAACAAAAAGCGAACGACATAAAGGAATAGAGTAAAAAAATTGGAAAGCACTTTCGCGTTATTTTAGAGTCTATCTAAATGGAATCTTAATCTATTTATACATACATGCATAAACAAATATCATGGACGTAGTGTCGGGGCGATAAAATATTTTATTTATGGCATTTTAATAGCCATGACTATGAAATAATGTCCTGTCATGTGGATATTGGAAATTTTTTTTATTTGTTTGTTGGCTGCCTTTTTTTGTTTTTCTATGTTTAGTTTGTGAATGGAGGTTGTTAAAGCATCATGGGATGTGAAATTTTATTTTTGGTGGCTGTTATATGCGCTTTTCACAATACAATTAGAGATATATGGTTTTTAATGAATTTTATAATTTTTATTGCATAAATAGTTTGATATGCCTTGTTAGTATAGTAATAGTTGACTGCTTCAACTAGCTGTAAATCCTATCACTCGTAAATAATGCCTATCATGATGAGAAGCTGATGTAATGTTGTTTGACATCAACAGACACCAAGCGAGATAAAGGAGACGAGGGCCTCTATGAGGCTTCCAAATCATCACTAAATGAGGCCTTGTACCCATCGAAATTTGAATTATTTGCAGCATAACTTAATCAGCCTAATCAAAGACAACCAGACAATCCAAGAGCTATAGCACCACTTACTTAACACAAATGCTCTACAAAATAAGAAACAAACATTGAGCAGATAACAAGCATAATAGAGTAAGGTATCGAGAGAAGATGAAAAGCAGACTTTCCACTGTCTGAATACGAAAAGGCAAAAAAAAAATATTCATCGAGAGGTGGAAAGAAGAAATCCAGGGGAAAGTGTCAAAAATCAGGTCAAATAGGATTTTCTATGTTTACCGTTCCTTTTTTTTCTCCCCTTCAATTTATGCTTAATCTTTCACCATATTTGCATGCATATTTGGAATTAAAATTTTTCTCAATAGCACAGTCGTATAATGGATGAGAGCAAAGTGCATGGAATCTATGTTAGTACAGAGAGACAAAGAGCACCTTATAGAATTTTTGATTACTATGCAAACATTCACAGCTGGATAAGAATCATGATGATGACATTTTATTATATAAAGTACTCTAATGATTGTGGCATTTTTTATGGTTTCATGACACTTTTTATCATTTAATGACTTTCCCATAAATATCTTTTTTTCTTTGGATCGAGGATAAAATTTTTGAAAATTCAGCAGAAAAAAATTGCTGGATAAAGCTGAGAAGTTTTTAATGGGTTTTATTGAGAAACTGATAAATTTTGTAGCAGTGTGGTGTGGTCATATATTATGCAAATTTATGGAGGAATGCGTTGAAATTTTTAATTTTTTTTTTTGTGGGATATTTATTAAAACTTTTTATGAACTTTTACAATTTTTACGGCTTGTATATCGAGTTGAGTAGCTCATAATTATTAAAAAGGGTCTTCTGAGGTTATTAGCAGTGCCAGTATTAAATAGGTCTATGGTGTAGGCTGCAAAAAACAATAGGAATGAGAGGAAAACTTTACTGCATGAGGAAAATTATGCGAAGAAGGAGGTGGTATTTCTAAAAAACCTAGGTTCAATTGAATACACCTACCAAGGCGGACACATTCGGTATTAAGACCAAAAACCCCAAAAAATACAAAAAAAATCCAGTACTTCCTGTAATCAAATTTTGAATCTCTTTTGAAATCCGTCCTTTAGTTGATAAATAATTGAGTGATTTCAAGTAGGATTCAAATTTTGATGACAGGAAGTATTAGGATTTTCGGGGTTTATCCAAGTGTATGCGCCCGAAAAGCACAAGTTGGTTAATCGAATAGAAATCCGGAGCCAAAATGGCATGACACTGGCATGGTGCTAGCTTCGATTTATGTTCAGCTTGGTGCCGGATTTCGAATCAATCAACCGACTTGTGCTATTCGAGACACCTTGACTCCTACCAGCATCTTTGCCATAATGTTTAAATTGCAGCTTTTAAAAACGAAACTTAAGTCTGTGATCAAGTTTTGCATAAGTCTAGCCAAGATCTAGATGAGGGGCGTAGCCAGGGGGGGCATAGGGGGCCCGGGCCCCCCTATAAAAATCTGATAATTGTTTTATTAAGTATTTATAGAGAAGAACCAGTTTATGTAGAGGAAGTGGTAAAAGAAATGTCAAAATCAGCCCGAAAAATTAAATTTAATGTATGAATAATGAATTAAATATTTAAACTTATTGTCTACTTATCCTGATCTAGATTCAGGACTTAAAAATCGTAAATAGAG